ATATTGGACCTTGCCTAGTGATAAAGTACCTGGTAATGGATATCGTGCCTCTGCAACTTTGCCAAACCCACTAAGTCATAAAGACAGGTGAATCCACCAGCTCCATTATGACCATCTGGGAAGATAAAAGCCTACCCCTGGCTTACAAATGGGTTGAATTAATATGTGGATGAAAGCTGAAAATGGCAGCTTCACTCAGGAAAGTCCTTGAAAACAGTGGGAAGTGGAAAACAAAATCCTCCGAATGGACAGAGCTTCAGGTAATCCACCTGGCCATCCAATTTGTGCACACAGAGTTCAGGACGTACAGTGCTCCAAGTAATGTTGAATGCCTTGCTTACAGGGGCTCAAAAGGAAAAAGACTGGAAAAATTTGGATAAGAGGGTTTGATGTACAGGCATGAGGATGGAGATAGGGGAATAAAGCTACAAAGTGGGAATGACTTTGTTTCACATGGCAGTTCTCACAGGAGAGTATCAAGTAATAAGATTTGGCCAGTCAATTTCACCCGGTCTGTGTGATTGCTCACATCAGCACAGGTATGATGAGCACATGGATTCAATTAACTCAGGGGTCACGGTGGGAGTGATGGAGGCTAAGCATGGGTCCAACGGCATGAGATTCCTCTTACCAAGGCTCACGTAGCTGCTGCTGCGACTGAATGTCCACACTGGCAGCAAGAGAGAACAATGCTTGCACTCTAGGTGGAGCTATTTATCAAGGAGCCCAATCGGCCATTTGATGGTGAGTTGAATAAATCAGCTGGTTCCTTTCACCCTGGAAAGAACAAAGACTTGATTTAATAAAAATAAATACATATCATGGGGGAGATTTTTCATTCCTGTTCATAGGACCTCACCAGTACAACTATCCAAGAGTGAATGTAGTGTTTAATTCTCCAGTATGGGATCCCACATAGCACTGGTCAGATCAGAAGACCTTCTTTATAGCAAAGGAAGTGTGGGAGTGGGTCCATAACTATGTGACCCAGTAGTTATATCACATATGCACTTTCAGCTGTTGGCCTGAAAGAGCAGAGGCACGATAGCCTAAAGCACTCTTCTATGAAGATCATGCTTCAACCTCCAAGATGCAGTGTATGCATTGCATCAACAACTTTATACAGTATCATGTAAGAAGAATACTTACATCTGAGAACCAAGGAGTAGAGACAGGAGAAGCTCCACTAATTATCATTCTTCATGACCCACTGGATGTTTATGTCTCCCATCCCCACAACTCTAGGCTCTACGTGGCTGGAAGTCCTAATCCCCAAAGGGTACAAAGTCTTGCCAAGGAAAAATGATGAGAATCCTATTGAGCTACAAGCTATGGTTGAAACCCGGGCACTCAGGCTCTTTGTGCCCAGAGACTGCAGGAAAGGAGGAATCATAATCTTGACAGGAATAATTGACAATAATCACCAAGAGGTGGTAGGGTTTCTGTTGCACAGTGGGATCAGGGAGGAATATGTGTGGCATCTGGTGATCAACCTGGGTGTGTGCTGCTACTCACTTGTCCAATTGTAATGATAAATTAAAAGGGTCAGCAACCACAATGTGAAAAAGTTATGGTAGCCAAGGGTTCAGGGTCTCCAGGGATGGTCCAGATCATACTACCAAGCCAACCATCAAGACCATCAATGGTGGTCTGAGGATGAGGGGAATCCCTAATGGACAGCCGAGGAAGAAGATGATGGGTATCGTTAGATGGGGTCCAAGACCAGCTGCAATAGTAGGGTTATAGTTCATACTACTTACCTCCCTCTCTGTCCTTCCCCTAAAAATAGAGGCCCCTGGAATCCTGGACTAACCTCTCTCAAACGTCTTTGAGGAAACCAAGACAATCAGTTCAAGGGATAGATAAATGTGAACATGGAGATGTACTCAGAATCCACTTAAAAGAAAGATTTGTTGCTCCAGCACATGGGTGTGTTAGCCCTTCTGAGTTTGCCTCAGCTTCAGAGAGCAGTGTAATCCAAGAAAGAGCATGATCTTCCCGGGGTGACCCCACCCCCAATAACTGATTATGAAGGAATTATAAAGGCCTAGCCATTCCCCTTACTGGAAGATATCAGCTCATTACAAGTAATACATACTTCAGAATCCCCTGTGGGGTTAGCTGAGGCTTTGTTGTATCTACACCATTTGATTTCTCTCTCTACCCAGTGCTGTCTTCTCCATATCCACCACAACCATGGGGGCCTTATAATAAGGTTTCCATTTCTAATGTCTACTTTTCACATTTCTAATGATATTCCAGTAAAACTTTTAAAATAGTCATCTTATATGCAAAAGCCTGAAATTGCCACTTAGTGAAGCCAACTATCAGAATTTGAGTTTCTCTTTCTTAGGACAGAATTTAAGATTTAATTTGTGGCCTAACTAGAAAACAAAAAATAAAACAAAGCACCATCTATGGAAAAAAAAAAAAGTCAAATGATGGAAAAATCCTATTGTTTTTCCTCTTGAACTCAAGGTCTTATTTTAAAAATCTGTCGGTCAATAAATACAGTTTGCCTCTGGTAGGGATTTTGACTCCGCAAGGGAATATATTTCACTTATAGTAAATTCAAAAAAATATTCAAAGGTAGTTAGGGTGTGATTACTGTCCTGGGAAATCATAATTCCTGGTTATTTGCAATCTATTTATTGTATTTTTGTGTGGCAATATTGAATAAACTACTGTTGTATACCTCCTAGAGTTTTTATGAGAGACAAATTTAAGATAAGTAGATTGCCATTTCAGGTTAGCTTTTGATTCTGTTTTCTTTTAAATTGATCTTATAATGATAATAGCATTTCTCAAATGGCTGAAGTTAAGTCTTTACATATATTTATTGTTTTTCTTCTTCCTGCAGTCATGATAAAGCACCTATATATTTTATATATAAATTAAGTAGTTTCCATAGAATCCTAAATTGATTGATTCATTTATTTTGCTTCAACAATATTTACTAGGTTCCCACTAGGTGTCAGACCCTTGGCCAGGTGTTAGGGATATAGTTGAATAAGATATGGCAGTTCCCTTAAGGAAATTATTCCCTAAGAAAACATGGTGTGAATGGTTTCTTAAATGGTTTTTATTTTTCTGCCATCATCGTCTTAAATTCAGTTTGTCAGTGTTATGGACTGAATTGTATCTCTCCAAAATGCATATGTTGAAGTCTAATTCCCGATGTGACTCTGTTTGGACACAGGGCATTTAAAGAGGCAATTAAAATTAAGTGAGCTCAAAAAGCTGGGGCCCTAATCCAGCGGGACTTGTGTCCCTATAAGAGGAAGAAATACCAGGGTGCCTGGGTGGCTCAGTTGGTTAAGTGTCTGCCTTTGGCTGAGGTCATGATCCTAAGGTCCTGCAATTGAGCCCTGTGTCAGGCTTCCTGATCAGCGGGGAGTCTGCTTCTCTCTTTTCTTCTGCCTCTCACCAATGCTTGTTCTCTCTCTCAAACAAATAAATAAAATCTTAAAAAAAAAAAAAAGGAAGAAACACCAATAATTCATACACACAGAGGAAAAAGGCTGTGTGAAGACACAGAGAGAAGGTGGCCATCTACAAGCTAAGAAAAGAGGCCTCAGGAGAAACTAAACCTGCTGGAACCTTGATCTTGGTCTTCCAGCCCCCAGAACTATGAGAAAAATGAATTTATGTTGTCTAAATCACCCCATTTGTGGTATTTTGTTTGGGAAGCTGTAGCCCACTAATACTGTCAGATATTCCCTTTTTGCAAATTGAGAATTTACTCTGGTAAAGTGTGATGATATGTGGTCACTTTACCACTAAGAACATCTTCATTTTATTTTATTTATTTATTTTAAAGATTTTATTTATTTATTTGACAGAGAGAGACACAGCGAGAGAAGGAACACAAGCAGGCGGAGTGGGAGAGGGAGAAGCAGGCTTCCCAGCGAGCAGGGAGCCCGATGTGGGGCTCGATCCCAGGACCCTGTTATCATGACCTGAGCCGAAGGCAGACGCTTAATGACTGAGCCACCCAGGTGCCCCAAGAACATCCTCATTTTAAAGCATTGAAAATAAAATCCCACTCGCCCCAAAATATTTTACTCAAATATTCTTTTTCTCCATCACTTTCTTCTCCAGTGCAGGGGGGCAGGGCAGCAGCAGGGAGGGAAACAGGCATGTTCTTTCCTCTACTCCTCCCCTACCTGAGCTTCTGCCCCTCCTCCTCTGCTTAGCTCTGATTCTTATGACCCATCGTGCATTGGGGCCAGAAAAGGGGAGATGAAAGAAGGACAAATGTCACACATCCCTTTCTATCACATCCCATAGTTGAGGCCCTCTCTCCTGGTGCTATAAGGAGTAGCACTGCTGGGCTCTTTGGGGAAACTCAGAACCAGCCCTGGGAATCTCCCAGCTCCCTTGTGATGGACAGTGATAATGTGCTTTCAGTCTGACTTCTGTTAACTTCTCTCATGCCTCTCAAGCAGGCAGTCCTCTTGAACAGGGATCTTTCAACAGGACCTGGTCCTTGCCGTTCTGTGTAGGATCACTTAACTCAGGCAAACTCATATATCCTAGCCCCCCCCCCATCTGTGACTATGTGGGCCCCTCTGCTCCCTCTGCTGTCATCCCCGCCACTCCCTCATGGACAACCCCAGCGGGCAACCACCTTCAGAACCCACCAGGTGAGATGCTGACATTGGGCTTTCTCCTCATCTGTGCCTCCAGTCTCGGGGAAAATACTGCAGGTTCTTTCTGCCAAGAACCCTCAGGCAGTACCAATGGCAGCACCAGGCAGGCCTCCTTGTCTCTGCTGCTCATCAAGCCTCACCTGAAGAGTAAGATGTTAGCCAGACCCTCACTACACAGAACACCTATCTCTACAGGTGACTCCTGCTACTGCCCACACCTCATGTGACTCCAAGTGGCAAAGGTGAAGCACTTTCCTCTTCTTCTTCATAAGAAAGGAGGGAATCAATACCATAGTGTTTCTACTCAAATGCATTCCCTTCAAAGACTCCCCAGCATGAATCTTTAACCTTTTCCGGTATAAGTTGGAGATTTAACTTGGGGATCATTAGTGTAGGAACCATTTTGGCGGCCTCTTGGCAAGACCTTGCATAGACATGTCCAGCATCCCTCTTCAGAATGTCCTTAGCCCGTTCCACCACCAGTGTCTTCAACTTGTATGGCTTAGCTAAAGTTACACAATGAAAAGTCCTGTTTCACATCCTGCTACAATACAACTTAAAAAACCATCATATATTATCCTGACATAAAATGTAGCTATAGTTCCATTTACAAATATAGCCATTAAACTTTGTAGTCAACTTGGAAGAAGCAACTGAAGTGAAACATATACTGAACTTCTGATAATTTCTAAGTACCAAAATCTTTATTTTAAGAAATTAGCTGTTAGAAGTTATCAGGGAAATTTTATATGCTTTTCCTTCATGATATAGAACTGTAAATACATTTTAAGTGGGCATCTAAGCTTTTTATTATTATTTTCTTTGCCTCACATCTCAAGAGGTCTCTCACCCTTCCATGAACTTGGCAGAACACAGAGCAGAGAGCCAAACTATAAAGTGGGCCAGCTCTGTTGATTCCAGTTACAGAAACTTACACAAATATCCTAATCTTCTGAGCCTCCTCACTTTCTTGGCCATGAAAATGGGGAAGAAAACATCTACCTCTCTGGTGTTGTGAGAATTAAATCAGATAATAAATAAAGCTCCTATGGGTACTAGTCGGTTAAGCATCTGCCTTCTGCTCAGGTCATGATCCCAGGGTCCTGGGATCCCTGAGTTGGGCTCTCTGCTCAGTGGGGAGTCTACCTCTCCCTCTTTCTCTGCGATTCCCTCTACCTCTCCCCCTGCTTGTGCTTTTCTCACTCTCTCTGTCAAACAAATAAATAAAATCTTTAAAAATAAATAAATAAATAATAAAACAAGTTCCTAGATCATAGTATGTAAGTCATAAACATCTGGTTATTGACTAAAACCCCCAAGAAAAATTGGGCTGTTCTTCACCTCATAGGCAGATATAGTTAAGGTGTAATAAAGGTGTCCACTCACTAGAGTCCATTCCTGACTTTCTCCACACTAGCCGTCCTTAGTTTCCTGTGCTTTGGCCCAGTCCAGGAATGAACCTCCTCAGCATTTCAGCAACCCAGCTGAGAACCTCAGATCTGCTCCTGAGGCAGTGGGGGTAGACTTGTAAAAGTTCTAAGTATGGAGACAAAGGCCTGATTTTGAACTTTCTTTCTGGCTTCCCAAAACCATGTATATGTGAGTCATCTGATGTCTATGAGCCTCCTATACCTCTCCTGTGAGTACAACATAGAAGGTACAAGAGCATTAAACAATTACATATGCACAATATATGATTAGTACTAGAACTAGCTTTGTAGTCTCAGTAAATAATTTAACCTCTCTAGGCCTATCTCTGCACCTCTTAAATAAGGATAGTAAGCTTGAGGATCTTGACATTATTTTCTACATATTTTATCATTACCTGAAAGGCTACTTTATGAATACCTATTTTGCTGTAAACAAGTGAATGTCATTAGTGGTTTATTGAGATTATACAGGATTGCCTAGTTATTTTCTATTTTAAAAGATACAAGTTGGGATGTACAGTTTAAATTTTTCATTTATTTGATAGTAATTACTACTACTGAATTTTTTATGCCTTAATATAGAGTACAAAAGGGGGAAAAAAGCTTCAAAGATATGTTTCCACAATAGTTCAATAATTAAATTCAGTAAATACTTCTCTTTAATCTTTGTATCTTATCATCTGTGGAAAATAAATCTAAAATACACAACATATTAATTGGATACCAATTATTTCTCATTTATCATTTAGAAATGTGTGAATGTGACTTACTAGTCTATAGGGGGAAAATTTGCCACACAAATTAAGAACTCAAGTATGGAAGTACAGATATCTCTTCAAGATTCTGATTTCAATTCTTTTGGATAAATACCCAGAAATGGAATTGTTGGATCTTATGGTAGTCTTGCTTCTAATCTCTAGAGAAACTTCCACATTGTTTTCCATAGTAGCTACACCATTCTGTAATCTCACCAAGAGTGTATAAAGATTCCTTTTTCTCCACATCCTTGCTAACATTTATCTTTTTCCTCCCAGTTTTACTGAGAAATAATTGACATACATCATTTATATGTTTAAGGCATGCAGCATGATGGTTTGATTTATATATATTGTGACGTGATTACCACAATAGGTTCGGCTAACATCCATCTTCTCATATAGATACAATTTTAAAAGAGAAAGGAAAAAAGGAAAAAAAAAATTCTCCTTGTAACGGGACTCTTAGGATTTACTTTTTTTTTTTTAAAGATTTTATTTATTTATTTGAGACAGAGAGCATGAGAGGGAGGAGGGTCAGAGGGAGAAGCAGACTCCCTGCCGAGCAGGGAGCCCGATGCAGGACTCGATCCCAGGACTCCAGGATCATGACCTGAGCCGAAGGCAGTCGCTTAACCAACTGAGCCACCCAGGCGCCCAGGATTTACTTTCTTAACAACTTTCCCATGTATCACACAGCAGTGTTAGCTCTAGTCACCATGTTGGACATGACATTCCTTAGCACTTATCTCTCTTACATCTGCAAGTTAGTACCTTTTGACCACCTTCCTCCAATCCCCCATCCCTTCACTGTACCTTGCACTAATCTCCAGCGGGGGCTTCATCTCCACTTTTATTTCTTTACCTCTATCTGCACATACCTCTTTTACTTTCATCACTTTGTGGTGATACTGTTCTTGTTTGGCCCAGTTTTCAAAAACTATGGTCATGTTTCAGACATTCCCATTCCTCTTACTATCTCAGGAAAGCCAGACTTTCAGAGGTTTTTCTGAAAGGAGTGGGAATCAATTAATAAAACACTAGATAGATCAGGACATCTAGTGTTTGTAGCTCAATATTCTTCTTCTGTTTGCATAGTGATCAGTAAATAATTGGTCTACAGATAAATGGACTACTACAAAATGCATCTGTGGAAAGTAGGACTGAGAAGTAAGAGTTTTGCTTATTTGCTTTTTCATATACAGTTATAAATTGGGTCTAAGGCAAGGGGATTACTTAAATCCTTTGCATTCCAGTATAACCCTGCTCTACTCAATAGCACAACAAAGGTTAAACATAGTTATAATACCCAGATGGAAGAGGAGTTAGGTGTTCAGATTTAAAATAAGACAAATGGTAGGGATGAGATGAGGTTATCAATAAAATACATTATTAATAATAAACCTCCCTAAATAATCTAGAACACTGAAATTTATTTGTTTTGTCTCCAAAGACTATTGAAATGAAGAGCATTGAAAAATTTATATTACCAATTCCAATTCTTTAAACTAAATTTTGACATAGCAAAGGGATATTTTTTCGGGGCACCTGGGTGGCTCAGTCGTTAAGTATCTGCCTTTGGCTCAGGTCATGATAACAGGGTCCTGGGATTGAGCCCCACATCAGGCTCCTTGCTCAGCAGGAAGCCTGCTTCTCTCTCTCCCTCTGCTTGTACTCTCTCTCTCTCTGTCAAATAAATAAATAAAAACTTAAAAAAAAAAACAAAGGGATATTTTTTCTTCTTGGTATTGAGGTCATGAAATAACTGTATGAAGCCGGATAGTATATTGATTTTGTTAAAGCAGATGGTGGAAGAGGAGGTTATCTGAACAGACTTTTCAGAAAGAAATTAAAATTTAATTCTCTGCTGTGGTATTATTACTTAGAGTGGAAAAGTATGTTTTTCCTGTTCGTTCTTGAGTTTTTGTTCATATATAGATCCAGAAACATGAACAAACACACCTGTTCACCACATTAACCAGACTTATTAGAATAATGAGACATTTTCAAGCCAAATGTTATATTAGTAGAATGAGAAGTGGTGTGAAAATTGAGTTCCTTGAGCTGGATTAGAGATCTTTGGATTGTGTGACAAGCTCTACTGGGAACACAGAGTTTTCATGGAAAGATGTGAGAAATTAATTTCAACAGATACAGTGAGTTAATGTCAAACAAAATTTTTTAAAGACAAAGAATTTTTTGATCAACAGAACCAGGTGATGGAGGCAGAGCAGAAAATCTTTTTAAATCAGGAAAAAATAAGAAAGCTTAATTGGATAAAAATTTTTCTTGCCTTTTTCTTTTTATAGTACTCCATCAGTTTAGCTTTATATCTAGATTTTAGTTATCAAAAATTTTAAAAATTATTAGTGATTTCGGTGTAAGATGTACTTAGTTACAATTACAGTGATGTAAAATTTTTGAAATGTTAGCAATTTAAGCTGCATGGCAATAACATATCACTATGGACTACCATATCCTGAGAAATTTTAGTAGGACATGAAAGGAAATTTTTAATTTCCTCATTAAATGAAACACAAAATTAAACACACTCTACTCCATTTCTAATGATGGTATTGTAGAAAACTTTCTTCTTGGCAATTTAAAACTCTCATTTCTGTATCTGGCTATGGAAGGTATTCTTTCTGTCCTCAAAATATGGGAAAAGTAGTATTAAGAATGCCCCTGGGGCACCTGGCTGGCTCAGTCAGAACTTGTGACTCTTGATCTCCAGGTTGTGAGTTCGAGACCCACGTTGTGTATAGCGATTAGTTAAATAAGTAAATAAACCTAAAAAATTTTAAATAAAAAAGAACATGCTCCTCATATGAACATTTTTTGAGTAGACAGGTTTTTAAAATTTAATATGTGACTGCAGTTTAATTATTTGAAGCATGGTACCTGGCATAAAGGATGAACTGTTCATCTATCTATCTATACCAATCTACTTTATATATTATACCATATAAAGAAGATACTTTTAAAATATATTTTTTCAAATATCTTTTTAATATATTTACATAAATAGAGAAAGCATCTCTGTGGTGACAATGTGTTGAGGTTGGGCAGTTATTTCAATGTGCATGTTTTTTTTTTAATCATTGTAGAATTGTCAAAACAACTGTGAATCTCATAAAGATAAGTTGTGTCAGTTTGCTAAGCATATTTATTTCTAAGGACATGTGGATTTAGGGTTTTTTTTTGTCTCAAATTCTCTCAATCTTTTGATCTTTCTGAATCATTATTCAGATACTAATTTATAACTTTTTAATTTAAAAACAAATTAAGGAGGACCAAAATCCATGTTAAATTGCAGCAGTTTTCAAGCAAAACTTTCAGGGAAACCCCTATTCTCAAACATAAAAGGCAATAAAAATGATCAACGTGATGTAGTGTTTAGTATGGGCGAGGTAGTACGCACCACTGAAATGATCTCATATACTCTCCACGGGTCCTTGAGGTAGGAGCTCTTCTTATTCTAAATAAGGAAATTGAATCTTAGGGGGGCAAAATATCCAAAGTCACTCACTGAGGATTTAAATCTAGGTTTGTCCAGCCCCAGAGATTACACTCAATCACTCACATACTACCTCAGAAATGAAAGAGGAATCCTTTAAAGAAAATCCTTTAAGAAAAATCCTGAAGATTTTTCATCTACAACAACCAAAATTAATTTTTCTAATTCACAGCTTTCAAAGTTTCAATTCTTTAACTTTTTATCTTCCTTATTTGGTGTAGGATGTAATTTCAAACTTATTTGTTGTGTATTTTAAAATAAAAGAGAAAAGAGAGAAAAGAAAAATGCATTTTTAAAAATTTCTCCATGAATTTTCCCTCTTTTCTCTTGTTCTAATTACATCTCTATCATGAGAAAATTATTCAGCCTCTCTTGGCCTTGGAGATGACAGTCAGAATGTAGAATCCTGGGAAATAAATGCCTCCATTTCTTTCTTACTCTACAATATCTTTTTTGTAGCAATGTACTGTTGTTGAAAATTGAACAGGACATTAATATGTAAACAGTATATCTAGGCTGATGTAACTATATTTGTATATAGACATATTTTCTGTTGCTTGACTGTGGAGAATTATGTAGCTGAGATTTATAAAAAATGTTATTTGCAGTTCTCATAGAGCCAAAGATAATTCTTGGGTACACTGAAGGCTGTATAAAGAATTTCAAGGCCTTGAGTTCAGATGAAATCAATGGCTGTACTTTAGTAGCTTGACAAATTTCATTACCAAAAGCTAATGATGAGATCAAAATCATGGAATTTGAAAGTCTTGTGTTTATCTCTTGGCTCTACCTCTTACCTGCTCTGTGACTTTTGATAAGTTATTAAACCTCTCTAATCCATTACTCATCTGTAAAACTGTGTAACAGTATATGCCGCAGGGGTGTTTTAATAGTTAAATGAGATAATACAAGGAAATCACTTGACACTATCCCTAAAACATTGTGAGCCCTCATTGCAAACTTGTACCTGCAATTATGCCCTTTAATTCCTTATCTTTTGTCTATCTCTCCTTACTATTATTATTTAAACAGTAAACCTTCCCACCTTTAGCCCCTACATCTACATATGATGCTGGCAGACTGGCTCCCAGGACTCAGAGGGGGTCCCGCAGGACCAGCCAAGAGGTCCCTGGCTGCATGGAGGTTAGAAAACAAATGTGAGCCAGCAGGAGGTGAAAGCAGAGTTTATTGAAGGCATAGAAAGAGTACAGGTACAGAGTGTCTGGGAGACTCAGAAAGAAAAGGAGGAAGCCTCATCTTTGCTTGGGGTCCAGGGTTTTTCTTAGAGGATTGTGGTCTGGCGTATGTGTCCTTTCAGGCATCCAGGAACCCATTAGAACAGAGACTAGGGCCCAGGCATTATTCCTTTGAGCCAAGGGTTCTTGGTGTCAAGATGTCTAACACTGGTGGTCTGGAATACACTTATCACCTGGTCCTTCCTTAGATGTTGTCTATTCTAAAGAAATCATGAACTCCCTGTCCCTTACAAGTAGCAATACACTATTTGCATTCTGAGGCATGTGGTAAGTGGGGGTGCAGGTCCTAGCAAGAATAGAAGCAGGAAAAGGAACAAGAAACAGGTTTTTATGGAGTCTTTCAGCTTTCCTCCCACATCTACACACCTTTCTAGCCCTTGTTCTGCAATCTTTTACAGTAAAACTCATCAGAAGTATTGCTTAAAACACTGTTTCTTTTCTTTTTTTTTTTTTTTCCCCTCCCGTTCTCTTTAACAGACATTTTACTCAAGATTTCATCTCCATTTCTCTTCTTAGGTCATGCCAAGGGTAGCAATGACTTTTATTTGATAAAAACAATAACCAATTTCTAGTCCTCATTTTACTGGACTAACAAGCCATAATTAACAAAATGTATTCTTTTCTTCTATGAAAATACTTGTTTACTTGTTTTTTCTCCTACCTCACTGGCAGCTCCTTTCAGTCACCTTTCTGAATGTTGTATTTGATCCTCAAAACCTCAGAAGGATCATTCCATCCTTCCTATCTACTCTTGTGGTCCTGTGATGTTAGGAGAATTAATGTGCTGACTGCTTCCATAGGGCCATCATATTTCTTTTTTTTTTTTTCTATCTTAAAAGTGTAGTTTTATTTTTTTGACCACATTTTTTTATTGTTATGTTAATCCCCGTACATTACATCATTAGATTTACATGTAGTGTTCCATGATTCATTGTTTGTGCATAACACCCAGTGCTCCATGCAGAAAGTGCCCTCCTCAATACCCATCACCAGGCTAACCCATCCTCCCACCCCCATCCCCTCTAGAACCCTCAGTTTGTTATTCAGAGTCCATTGTCTCTCATGGTTCGTCTACCCCTCCGATTTCCCCCCCCTCATTCTTCCCCTCCTGCTACCTTCTTCTTCTTTTTTTTCTTCCTTAACATATATTGCATTATATTTTTCAGAGGTACAGATC